TAGATATATTTCGAGGGCAAATGATTGTCTACTTTTTTATCATTACTCAAGAGGGAAAAGGCTCACGATTTTACTTATTTGCCCTGATAATTCATGGTCTAAAACGAAATGAGAATCCTTACACTTGATAACCTTTGTCACAAACAAACTAATAAAAACATTATATCTTACAGGAACAATATATACTTGCGTACCAAAGTGTGCAGGAATACGAAAATGGAGACTGGTCTGATGATGAAGGTAACAATAACTACTAAAATAATGACTTTTTTTTCGAGGCAAAGATGCACTTGAGGGACTGATGATCGGCTGAACGCACCATGTCCGAATAATATCGTTCTATTTCAAATAGTTCACCATATTCATGAGTAAATGATAATTACCGACTTGTCAGCTTGTCAATGATCATCATCACCCTGCAACTTTACGTCAAAAGAAGAAAATGATAATGGTAAATTTTGCAAAAATCATGAATGAATTAAGTCAAAAGACGTGTGCTTTGTATGTGTGAGTATTATATAGCGTTTTATTGGGACTGTTGATTACTGTCATCATCAGTGAATGTGATCTCCTTTGTATATTGAAAAGAATTATCAATATGAACCTGCAATATATACAAGTACTGCATCTTAGGCACCCTAATAAAGTAAGTTTTTCTTTTCAGAGACTTACGAACATGTCTAAGTATGCATTTGGGACAACCGGATTTCTTACCACATTGCAAAGACACAAAGCAGATGTGCCACCTTTTCACAGTAAAGCTTCACCCTTTGTTATGAAGCTAACTAGCAACTCAGCTTGGGTGTATTGTAGCAATGAAAGACTTGAATTGAACTTCTTGATATATTGTATTTGTTCTTGAAAGTGTCTTTAATAACTTCTCTGGTGCTTGTATTTGTTATTTTGATTTACATTTTCTGAATCATCTTTTTGTTACATATAGGTTAGGGAGATCTAAGAAATCTAAGTTTTATTATAGGGGGAGGGAGAAGAGGGGCGGAGGGAGAGGCTGATGGAGAGGATGGGGTAGAAAATGGGTTGAAGCGTTTAGAGTCAGGAGCTGTGGGGAGGGGAGGGCATTCACCAAAAAATTGACCCATTTGGCTGAGCTAAATAGAGCATGTTTGTATAGGTGGGCGTAGTAGAAGGACAGGGGCGTGTGGAAGATGGAGTAGTGTTAAGAGAAGTAGTATTGCGGAGGTGAGCAATACGGTTGTAGAGTAGTAATAGGGGAGTTACTGAAGAAAGTGGGAGTGGAAATGAAGTAAAGGATGTTGGGAGAGGAGGAATTTCTCCTGGAGGTTGAATATGGATCTGAGTGGATGATGTGACATTGAGGAGGGGATATTATTAGCAGTGCTCAGAATCGTGGTTTTAAGAGAGTTAGGTGTCGTCGACACTCGAAGGATTAGTCATCACCACGCGAACAATGCGAGAGCGAAGCAGAAGCTATATGAATGAGTGAAACAACAAGCGAGGACGAGACGCCAAAAATAGAACAACATTGCGAAGATTCGAGGCAGATTCTATACAAAAAATAGTCGACAGGACAAAACACAGATGCAAAAAAAACGGCCTCTGACTCAGAGTCACGAAATCATCATGTGACAGAGGGTGGCACCACATGATGGACCAATAGAACCAAAAAGGAAATCACGAGTGCGAAACAACAAGCAGTTCTAATCGATCGCAATATAGATCATATTGTATCAATCTAGGAACAAGAACAAGAAACTCGGGTGGCAGGTAGAAAAAGTTAAAGTTACGGGTACCTTTCCAACTATAAAATAACCAGCAAGGGCGTGACCGGAAAGGACGCTCAGTAATGGAAAATGTGGACTAGGTTTCAGTAGACATTTTCGTCTCGGCAAATAAAATGACAAATTATTATTATTATTTTTTTTTTGTCATGTCTAAGTCTTAGCTAAGGTGGCAGAGGGCAAGATTTCATGTAGACTTTCATTGCAGCTGTTTGTGTAAATATAATAACATATAATTATAATAAGTTTTGTTTTATTTTATGGTGTTTCAGTATCTATTCTATTTCATTATTTTATTTATCTTGGTAAGTCCGAGGTAAATAAAATAACAGTACAAACTCCCAACGCGTCAAGACTTTGGCTGATAACGTCTTTTATCCGCTGAATAGCTTGTCAATGCACTGCTAGGCATAGGGCAAGGGAGGGAAAAACTATTGAACATTTCATTCCACACGGTACACTCAAGTATCAACAATAACATTACAGCACAAATGACCTCCAAAGACTTGTCACCCCCCCCCCCTCTTTCTCTCTTTTGGGCCTCAAGAGAGTTAACATGCTCCTTGGAAATAAAGACATGACTATTTCTTTTTAACTATATATAGATGGGCACTAGAATCATAAAGATGTATCACTTCATCCTCGACATACCATCGTGATGAAACATAATGGACAGGGACTAGAAATGAAAGTTAATAAGGTGGCCGTGCTATTCTGGAATACAGTTTGGATTAGGAAGACAACAAAGATTTTATGACCATATAATGAAACAACTTAATGATCAAATCTAAATGATGTTGTGACAATATTGTGTTAATGGTTAATGATTGAAATAGATATTTTGCTAGACATCAAGGTCATATATCTATATTGTGTTAGATAGGTCTTCTTTGTTAACAGCTAATGAAAATAGATAGGTTAAGTTTATGTGTAATTAAATAATTAAGTGTTTTCTAAGATTGATAGCTCAGTGGAAGTGACAATGACGAGTCCTGTTGTTTTCTAACGGAGCTTAAGACTTTATTGCTTTTGGCATGATTATTATTCACATATTTACATAGATATAGAGCTTGAGTTGTGTTTCTTATAATTAACTATTTGATTTTCTGAGGATTAGTTTTTATCTATATCTAATTAATTTGTTAACTTAGAGATATTGAATAATTAATTACTTTTATAATGATTGCTAATTCGTTTTATAATATTCATTAGATATGATCCAGTTTTGAATGTTGTGCAATTTTTTATCAAGTATCATGACTGATAATTATATAACGGAGCTATAACTGTCTAGTTGTATGGAAAGAGTCAAGAACCAAAATAATGTATTATGTTTTTTGTTTCACATAAACTTTAGTATTGTATTTTTATTATATTGCACTGATAATATTCAGTTAATAAATTCACTGATTTTTTTAAACGAATATTTAACTCCTTGCATATGTATATACAAATAAATAGGTAAATATATATATGTATGTGTATATATTTACACACACACACACACACACACACACACACACACACATATATATATACAGATATAAGTATATATGTATAAAAATGCACATATAAATATATATATAGATATATACATATAAAATAAGTAAATAAATATACATAAATAAATATACATAAATATATATACATAAATAAATAAATTAATATATATATAGGTATATTTCTTTATCTATATATATTATATATATATATATATATATATATATATATATATATATATATATATATATATATATATATATATATATATATATATATATATATATATATATATATATATATATATATATATATCTATACACTCAGTTAATGGTTAATGGTTAATGGTTAAAAGCAAAAATAAATGTGCTAGACATCTAAGGTCATGTAGCACTATAGTAAATGTTAGTAAAGGGTGGTTAAGTTAGTGATTAGTTAACAAAGCTGGGTAAAGGAATTGGTGAGTGAATGGGTTAAGGTCGGGTGAGGTAATGTAAAGGGGTTAGATTAAGTGAGGGATATTTATGTGTTTGAGAGGAAAACAGGTTGTCGAAGGGAGAATAGGTGGGGGGGGGGGGGAAGCAGAGCTACAGGCTGCTTCAAAGCGTGTGCATGATAATAGAATGTGTGAGACTGAAAGAGGAACATTACATAAAGAGCATAGGGATGGATCGGATTGCGACATCAGATAGGGGTGTGTTAGACGGGTGTGGAAAGGGATGCTTGTGTGTATCCAGGAGGGAGTGGAAGGGATAGAGGGGATGGTGGGAGGGTTAATGTGGGTGAGGTTGGAGTTGGGGGGGATGGGTTGTGTTGGGAGGGGGTAGGAGGATAGGGTGTAGGGGGGATATCGTTAGGAGGAGGATGGATATCGGCAGTCACTTGGTGTGCGGAGGAAGCAGGAATTGTAGGATTTGAAGGTTGATGGGGGTCAGTTTTCATTAAGAAGTCTTGGATATTTTCAAGAGTTTCTTCAATGGAGTTGGTTGGGGAGTTTTGTGGGATAAAGGATTTCTTGTGAGGGGGGGGAGAGAACGCTGGTGTCTCAAGAGAGTTTTGGGGGATAAAGGATTTCTTGTGAGGGGGAGAAGAGAGGACTGGTGTCTCAAGAGTAGGGGCAAAGGATGATGGAGGTGATTGTGTGGTAGGGGAAGAGGGGGTGGAACGTTTGTTCTGTCTGTTACGGGGAGTGCGAGGAGGGAGAGGGGAAGGTGTTGGGGTTGTAGTGGTGATTGGGGTATCTGTAGTAGAGATTGGAGTTTCTGGATTTAGGATGGCAAAAGAGTTTGACTGGGGAAGGTAGGTGGGGTTAGTGGGGGGGTTAGATGTAGGAGGGGTGGGTTTAGGAGAAGTGTCAGAATGAGCAGTATTACTGGAGTAAGGAGTAAGAGAGAATCCACGTCGACGTGCTTCCTGTCTGGCTTCACGCAGTGTGAGTCCAAGTTTGAATCTGAGTTGCTACCTCAGATTCAAATTTGTAGGTGGGACAGCCCCTATAAAATACATTATGGGGGCCGCCACAGTTGGCACATGTGCGTGATTGTGCAGAGCAGTTAGATCGGGTATGGCCAGGTTGGGCACATAATGGGCATCTGGCTGTGGAACGGCAGTGTTTGGCTGGGTGTCCTAGACGCCAACAATTTTGGCACTTGACGTGGAGGAGGTTGGTATGGACGAACAGGGAGGGATTCTCCTCCTATGTAGACGTTAAAGGGAAGGTCATGTCTACGGAAGGTAATTTTGGCTATGTTAGTGGGTTTCTTTCGATGACCTCTGGGGGGGATGGAGTAGCATTGTACTGATGTTGCATCGTAGTCTGTGAGACAGGCAAGTAGATCTTCTCCACAATCTGACCAATCTTTGTCATAGATTGGGCAATTTGCTGGTGAGATTGAGACTGTTCCGGTGCAAGTATTGAGGGTTGGATGGGGTTCTGCTAGGATGGGGTTACCATATTGGTCAGTTAGTTTTGTTAGTGCTATGGCTTGGTTTTCGGATGTTACTGTTACAAGACGGGAGCGGTCGGGTCGGCTACGGAAAGAGACTTTACCTACTTGTTTTTGGAGGCATTGTTGGAAGAGAAGGGTGTTGTCAGAGTAGGGAGCTGTGGGAGGGATCACGAAAAATCGGTCCCATTTGGCTGCACTGAAGAGAGTATTCAAGATTGTTTTAGAGATAGGGGTGGTAGAAGGGCGAGGGCGTGACGAGGATGGAGTAGTGTTGATGGAGGTAGTGTTATGGAGAGGTGGGCTATAAGGCTGTAAGGTATTAATAAGGGAGGATGGGGTGGTTGATGTTGGAGGTTGTGGGGGTAGAGGTGTTGAAGTTGGGCATGCTGGGAGAGTGGAAATGTTCCTTGAGGGTTGATTATTGGCTACTGTACTAGTAGGCATTGGTGAAGGGGTAGTTATTGCAGTGTTCGGAGCCGTGGTCAAAGGAGAGCCTGGGGTCGGGGAATCAGGTGGGTTTACTTCGTTGGGGCTATTTGATAAAGGGGCAAGCCTCATTGCCCCTAATAGTGGAGATATATTTTCATTACTGGCCATGGGAAGCCTGGATTATGTTGGGGATAAAAACAGTCCACCCCTCAGGGTCCCCTTGAGGGGTAAGGGCTAGATAACTAAATCAGGGGAATACCGTGCCCATGGCTCCCTCAGGCCGTTCAGGACTGGCACAAAGTCAGCCTTTCATCCTTTCAGCACGGCTCTCACACCTTAGGAGGTGGATAGCAGAAGGGTTTGGTGAAAGGGACAGAAACAAAAGTGGGAAGGGAAAAAAAGACCATGCATAATTAGTTGAGTCGAGGGCTGAGTCCCAAGGTTGGGGAGTTCCCCATCATTGGGTCCCAGTCTCCGCCTCCTAAGCCCCCCCACGACAACAACGGGCAAGGGATTGGGGGGGTATACACTCAGTTGAGAAAGGCAATCCCTGCAGACCATCGATTGGCATTAATACTTATCTATCAAGAGGTTAGTATTCAGTAACATATTAGTTTTCATCTTCTGTGCATGATTTTGCTGGTGTCCTTTTGCTGTTTATGTTGTATATAAAATCAGATAAAGATTTAGTTATCTGCATGTCTCAAGAATATTGGTATTCCTATGAGATGATAATAATAGTTGTAAATACACTCAACAGCAACTGTTACTACGTGCAGTGAAACAAGTTTTGGAAATACTAAATTGGTTTGTTCTGATTAAAGTAACTCCCCTCTTTACAGTAAAATTTCTTAATTGATTATTTTCTTGTGTGTAAAAGTTTTCTTTTGTTCCAGATACATGCTGCAGAATAGTTCTGGATCATTAGAAAAAAAATGTAGGCAGAAAGCTACATTGATCTTATTCTTTATTTATTGTAGTTATATTATTGAAATTTTGTCAGTTATATTTATGCTCACTGGTATTATAAAATTGTTTATAATTTAATGTTTATGAAGTGTATTGTTTATTGTCAAGTTTCTAATATTTATTTCATTATAGTTCTAAGTTGCCACTAATTTTATAATTCCTTGAATTTTGTAGTTTGTATTTTTAGTTATTGGTAGTAATTGATTTTTTTTCTCTTAAATTCATACATTTTTCTTACAGTTGTAAGTTTGTTCATCAATAAATGAAAATCTTATGTAAGCTTTATAAATGCATAGAGAGATTTATAATTACTCTAAAGAAATTACGGACAATAATTTTTATTTGCACCCTGGATTACCCATGAAAAGGTTTGGGAAAGATCACATGTAAGTGCATGTAAATATTTCAGTTGCAGGCTAAGTATTCTGGACTGCAATTCAAACTACATATTTAAATAGGGTTTATTCCAGTGGAATATTGTACATTATTATACCTTTACAAATATTAACTTAAATATCTACAACAAGTGCAATTTGGAGAGTCAGCCTCAGATACCTATGTACATTTGCCTGCCTTCAACAATCATGAAATTCTTAAGTGATTATGATTGTTGTCTTCATTTTCTCAAGAGAAATGCACCTTATGTTGCTAGGATTATGGTGAGAACAGAATTCATTGATAATTGGACAAATCAACATTTGAATACTATCATATATAGCCATTACTACTGCTCTTCATCTTGAGGCTACTCTATTCAAAGTAGTTGTACTCAGATGCAAAGCAAGTTAAACTCTTTCCACTGCTTAGCAGAATACAACGACATATGAACAGTGTGTGAAGATAAACTGGTTTTCTCACAATCTTTCACCGGTAGTAAATTATCCAACCTGATTAAATTATCCACTTTTAAGTGATGATACTAATGAAGGGATTTAACTTTCTGGATGAAACTGCTCACATTCCTAACTGCCTTCATATAAAAAAAAGAAAAAAAAATTACAACTGGTCAACATATGGCACTGCAGACAAGCTACCAATGGCTCCCATGCTCAGCTTGCCTCCCATGACTTTACTCACAGCCTGGAAATATAAGGAGAATTATAAATGGAGGAATAATACACAAGAGAAAGTTCTCAGGATACTTCATACAGACACTATTTTATACAACTGTTGTCTGATGTATAACAGTATTTCAAACCTAAGGCTGTTTTTAAGGAATGACTTTTAGACATAGAAACCTGGCCACTTACAGATTGGACAGAAGAGGCAGTAACACCATCAATGGCAGCAGCAGCAGCGGAGGGGTTGGCGTATGTGCCAGTCAGGAGAGCTTGAAGTCCCATGTCTTCCAGATGCTCAGCTGCACACAAGAAGTCACTCATTATACATATATTATAATATCCAGTCTTGTGGTCATCCTAAGCTGATAGGCTGTGTGTAATTGCAGTATGATTTGCACAACATAATTAATGTATCCTGTTATTTCATACTCTGGGTTTAACTTTTTTCTATAATGTAAATATGACTGCTTTTATAGATACTAAGAAATACAAATGAACACTTTTGATAAAGT